GTCATTTCTTACACCTTACTCTGTCCCCTCTTGAAGACTGACAGATTGCAGCCAGCAGCCAGCAGGCTGCTTGTCAGAACAAAATGTATCAGCTCATGAAGTCCTACAATAAAAAACCTTCTTCCCCATGAAAACTATTTACAGTGTCCTTTGTGGGCCATCCCACAAAGGGTGGGGACACCTAGGGGCAGAGTCAGGGGGCAGATGTCCAGCACCCTGGTCTCTGAATGTTCCCCCATGGGTGTGGACACTGTGGCAAGTGTGACAGGTGGGGGGTTTGCCCCAGGGTGACTGCAGCTGCTGGTCTCCCAGCATAGGTTGCTCCCCCTCCAGCAGCTGGTGTTCAGGGCCTGAAGGGCCAGTATGCAGTCCTGGTCGCACTGCAGGCAGCTCTGGCTCCATGCCCAGGTGCAGCTGGGGCAGGTAATGGGTCTGGGCCCAGGTGGCACCGGAACCAGGGGGCCCAAGGCAGGGGTTCCTGGCTTCTAAAGATAGTGCTGGACCTCTTTCCAGGCCCAGATGAGGGCCTGCTGCTGGGTGGCAGGTGGCTGCCAGGGGGTAGGTGGGGCTAAAGTCAGGAGCCAGGCAGCAGGTTACACAAACGCAACCACCAGGGCCAAAACAGTGTCCAGCACCTGGCAGTTGTTGTCTGTGGCCTGCACTGCCTCGGCCAGGATGGCATTCTGCTCCTGCAGGAGGTCCAGCCTCTTGTGCTCTAGGGCCAGGAGCTGTGTCCAGAACTCCCAATCTGCCCCATCCCACAGCAGGTGCTGTCTTCCATTGGCCAGGCCTGTAAGTCCTCCAGCCAGTCTTCTGATGCCACCACAGCTGCTGCAGGAGGATGGTACAGTCCTGCATCTGCCTCTGGTAGAGCCAGGGCATCTTCAGGGCCCCTGCTATGAGTGGTGTGACCCTGAGACTGCATCCCAGCTGCCAGGGAGAGCCTTTTCCCCACATGCAGTTGCAGGACCTGAAGCTGTTTGAGAGAGTTTGCAATATTTGTCATATAAGATGCTCTGTACCAGGAGCTGTGTGCTGCCTGGCCTCAAATCAGGGGTCAAGTGTGCATGGGTAACCAGGGATCATTGTAAGTTGGCTGGGCAGGCCAAGGCCAAGGCCCAGGTGGCTGCCAGCCAAGGCCCCTGTACCCACCCACTCCCCTGTGGCTAGCAGGTCCCTAGGTGCTGGCCTCAGGCAGCCTGCCTCCCCTGCCCCATTCCTAGGCCAGGACAAGCCAGGCTTCTGGCAGCACCTGCTGTAGTGGCTCCAGACCCTACTCCTCCCCTCCTTCTGCAAGCCAGCTGCTGTCCTGTACTGCCACCCACCCATGGCACCTGGGCTCAGGGGGTGTGGGACTCCCAGACAACTGGAATGAGGAACTGCCTCTCCGCAGGGGGCTTCTCTGGGGAGGTGCCCCAGGGCCAGCCCCCCAGCGCACCAGTACTGATCCTGAAGCATGCCCCTGCTGCACATGTCCCAGGCAGTGTGTAGGGAGCTGTTTGTGCAGACTGACCAACCCAGTATGCCCTTCTGCTGCTGATGGCCATGCCGCCCTGGGTGCATCTGTATACCTGGTATGGGACCCTGAGATACGATGGCATAGGGGGCAAGCTCGGGTTGCCTGCAACCTCTGCTGCCACTTTAAGGACTACCTGTGGCTGCAGTACACATCTGTTCCCCGCAACTGAGGAAGCCATCACCCCTGGCATCAGTGCATTCCTCAGTGTGTGAGAGGCTCATGCCCACCTAGCTGCCTGACTAGCTGCAGGGGCACAAGCTGCTCAATAAGGTTCAATGCATGCTGTATGGGTGGGGGGAACACAGGGCAAAGGGAGTGTGGGCAGGTCAGGCAGGAAGTAGGAGCACGGCAGGGTAGGGGCAGAGGTGGAAGCATGGAGGGCCCTCCCTGCAATGCAGACCTTACCACATGGCCAGGGCTGATGTGGCTGGTGGGTCTTCTCATTCCTGTATGTCGGTGACAGCATACAGTTCCAACTAGTGTCCTGAGATGGTGGGGCATGGTGTGCAGGTGCCTGGCTGGGCTCGCCCCTGGGAAGGAGCTGGCACTGCTGGTGGTGTCATGTCTGGCCACGCCTAGTGGCTGGGACTGGGGCTACAGAGCTGGCGAGGCAGGCATTGGCCAGAGCTCCCTGACCTGCTTGTAGATACTACAGCTGGGGATCTCAAGAAAATGGGCCACTGGACACCCAAGGGGCCCTCTTCTGGTGACATCACTGGAGGTGCCAAGCTGGGACAGCGGCTTGGGCAGGCTGCCCATACTGCTGTAGGCAGCACACCTGTGTCCTGGGTCTTGGGTCCTGAAGCACAAAGATGGCATCTAGTTGCTGCATGAAGGGCATGGACTTACAGTCACTGCCAGACAGTCATGGTGACCCACTGTGGCCACAAGGCTTTGACCTTTATGCAGCATTGCTGTCATGCTCGGTTGTTCCCACACTCCTGTATCCAGCCTGACAGTACCTCATAGATATGGGCATTATAGCGCCTGCCCCACTCAAACTGGCCATGCATCTCCATCTTGCCCCACAGCACAACAATGTCACCAGTCTCCTCCTTGGACCAGTTGGGGCCCCAAGTGGAGGGCACAGATATGGGCACGGGTGTGGGCAGGGGTCTGGGCAAGGAGGATGCTATCTGGGATCCCACACCAGGTCTCTGAGTCCACACACGGCTGTCCCAGTGCTTCTGGACCTAGGCAGCTGCCTGCAACCCCTAGCACAGGGGCACAGCATGGGACTGTCAGCTGCATAGCAGAGGCAATGGCCCACACCTTCGGACACAGCTCCTTGGCCCCCTAGTGGCAAGGCCAACTGGGGAGCAAGTCTACACATTCATTATAGCTCAGTAACTAATTCTGCAGAAATTTGGTATCTAGATTTGCAGGTAGCAAATCTGTGCACTATTAAGGGATTTTACTGTCCAGTGAGCATGTGCATGTACAGATGCATGCACTTACTGCACAGTAAACTAAAGCTACTGCGCATTGAGGCATCTTGTGTAAATGCAGCCAGTGATTCTCAGAAGTGCTTGCTAAGTCAGTTTGTATTCTTTAGAGGGACATTTTGCTGATCCACTAGCAAAACAAATTTGTACAAACAGTACAAAGATTACTGGAGGGCTGAACTTTCATCCCCCCGCATTACTTATTCACTCCAGAAAACGGTGGCTGTTCTGTTGTATCCTGTTTGCAAGCCGCTTTGCAATCTTTTCTGGTGCTGTTTATTCTTGGATCCCAAGGTAAGTTCGTTTTGCCAGTGTGTGAGAGAAGAGTGAGGTCTGTTCCTGGGTTATACGTGCTTCCTGTTTCTTCTGCTAAGAAAGAATTTGGTTTGTTATTTATGCTTGATGACTTTGGCCTTGTTCACACTAGAAAAATGAGAGACCTTGATATTTAGTGATGTAGTTCTTGTAGGATCCACAATGCAGATGTATAGATAAGGTTCAGGACATTTATACTGCTGCACTATCTTATCTATCTATCCCCTTTTGGAAACTGGGTTGAGTGCTTTTGTGTGCATCATTTGTGTTTTTCTCTGGGTCTGGATCACATGCAGCCATCAGGTGGCTGCATCTGCCCTCCAGTGACCACCCCATGGTGATTTGAGATGCTGGTCCCAATTACACATGCCCATCCTACTACCACACTGATGTAAGAGGAACAATGGAAACATTCTGCCCTGAGCATTTTCAGAAAAATTAGATCGCATCCCTCTACCAAGAGTTCTCATTCTGTTTTCCCCAGACCAATACAGCTACAACCTGGACACCTGACAGATTGTATGCAAGACATTTGTTCCTAGTTTCAAGAAGCTGTGTTTTCATCTGAACTAAAAAATCTCTGTTTTAACTAGGCCTAACCAAATCATTACTAACAGACATTTTATTAGACAGATTTTACCTCTTTTTCTGCTTTGTGTACTGCTTGAGAGCAGTCAATTTCTTTTGAGCATATAATCATTATTTGGTAAATCATTTCTGGGCATAACTCTTCGTCCTGTGGTTGCTCTAAAGCCTGTGACTGCATGTACTTAACATTCTGCAGCCTTGCTACTTTGGCTTGGCACATGTGGCATACAGTATTATTTCTGTTCCCTGGCTGGATTAGGATAATTGTTAGAACCAGTATTCAGTGTAAATACTTGAAACTAAAAAATCAAAATTTGGTCTATGCCAATGCTTTATGATTTTTTCCTTTTCTTCGTTTTACATTTGCCTCCCAAGTACATTCACTTGCTACAAGATTCCCAGAGATCTAAGACCAAATGGCTGGTAATTTTTACAAAACTAAAATAAATATTCCTGGAAAATATATGTGCTTCCTTTGCTCTCAACTCAACAAAGAACCTGAACTTCCAGGAACTGTACCTAGCTATTCAATGCATTTCTTCTGGACTAGAGGGTGTCCAGGTCCAGGGGGTATATATGCCCCTTTCAGGACTTTCTCAGCCAAATTCAAATGTGGTGCACATCAATGAGTATCATTTGGAGAAGGAGTAGAGGGGCACATGGGGAAATGAATGAGCAGCAGCATGTAGGAAAAAGGGATAGGGTTTTTTATGCCATTGCTCAGGCTCTTGTTGAGTCCTTTTTCCTGACACATCTTCACTCTCTCCCTTTAGCTATAATAACTAATGCCATCTTCTGGTAGTAATGTGTAACATAGCTCTGTGTTTATGTTATCTCTGGATAGGCCCATACTTAGTTTTGTAATGTTCTTCCAGGTGGCCAAGTCCTTGGAGAAAACCAGAAGAACAGTGAAGTTCTGAAGCAGCCGTCCAGCGCAGTAATAGGGACAGACAAACCTAGCTTAGTGTTTGATTGAGTTTGATCAGTTCATGACTAGGATTGTGTGAGAGGGTTACCTATGATAACAGGGGACTGCAGCTCATAACCTAGAAAGCTGCTTCTAGCGAGATGTTGCTGACGCAGAAAAAAGGCATAAGTGGAGAGATTATAAAACATAGGCTGCATTCCGACTCCTGGCCACATCAGTCGGTTGTCTGTAGCCCTAGGGCAGAAGATCAATGGCCTGAGGTCAAGTGAAATAATCATTAACACTGAATAATCTCAGACTGGTAAAGCAGTAGGTAAGGTTAGAAAATATTCTAACTCTACTCATATACTTAGATTACATACCAAATGTTCCTTCTTTTGCAGTCCTTTAATCTTTAATTAGAGCCAGGGGAAGGGGCTGTATTCAGATAGACCTGAAGCCAGAATTAAGCCCTCTGGACTTGATGCTGTGACCAACATCAAAGAAAGTAGTTCAAGTTGCCTGTGAAATGTTTCCTTTTACATGTGTATGATTACATGAAAAAATATATTAAAGAACATTAAGGTAACAAAATCAAGAATGTCAGATTGAGAGTTATCTGTGCATTTTATTTTGATAGGAAAACTAAATTCTGGCATTTCCTGACTTTTGAGTGCATGACATTAACATTTAAGTGTGGAGCTTTTATGTAATTTCCTATTATTTAAAAAAATGGAAATAGGAAAATTGGAAATTTTATTTAGTCAGCTCATGCTGACTGCCAGATGGAACAGCAACAGGGTTGGGACCCTTGGATTCACATCATAGAGGACAGCAGTCAGCTTTCTAGGGCAGGCAACTTTCCTTGATCAGTCTCTGTGGAGAAGATTGAGCTGTAACTCCTTTGGAGGCAAGTAGTACAGCAGTGTTCCCTCTAATCTGCATGGCATGCACAGCCGCGCAGGTGTGCTCAAGCTGTGCTGCCAGGCATGCCTGCACACACCACACAGCTTAGAGGGAATGCTGGAGTACAGTGCTGTTGATCCAAGACTGACACTAAATTAAACTGAAGTGGATAGAGAAGGGAATGCTGAGAGAGTTCAGGAATATGGTTTCTGTTTTGTGCTTGATGGATTTTCCTTCTCCTCTAAGTCCCTGTAGCTTTCCTCTGAAATGCCAATGATATGCCTGTCGGACTTTGAAGATTACGCTAAGCAGTACCTACCCAAGACCACTTGGGATTTTTTTGCAGCTGGAGCGGATGAGTGTTGCACCCGAGAAGACAATATCTTGGCATATAAAAGGTATAAAGCAGTCTTCTTCTTTGAGCCAAAAAGTTATACTTTTCCGGTACCTAGCAACACCTGTCCTCTCTAGCATGACCCAAAGCAAATGCACCTTTCTGTATAACTGATTGTACCCACCACTGAGATAGCACCCAGCAGGTGAAGGCAGGTACTATAGACTAGAGGTGACACAAAGGAATAGTGTACAGCATGGGAGTGAAAGCAAGCACCATACCATGTGGGTGGTGAGAAGACTGGTGTGAGTAGATGTAATAAGGTGTGGGGTGATTGGGAGTATGAGCTGGACAACATGGAGCATGAGTGTGAGCATTCTGGAATTTGGGGACAGAGTGCATGGGTAATAGCAGCGATTACAGATTACAGGCTGATAAAGGGGAACAGAGTAGCTTTAGGCTGGGTTATATGGGGGCAGAAAGGTGGGGTGGAACAGTAAATAGCAGGAGTGGGGCATCTAAGTGGGATTTAGGGGAAAGATGATGGGTAGTACAAGGCCAAATGGGGTGAGGCTTGGAGGTAGGTGGTAGAGTCTGTAAGGATGGTTGGACTGGGCAGTGAAGGCAAGCTGCTAGGGAGGGATGAAATTCTCATATGGAAGTTCTCCAAGAACCACTGCCCCTAGATTATTCTTCTTGAGTCAAATGACTGTATCACAACCTTCTTCCAGGTGACATTACAACCAGGAAAGCCAGGAAGCTACCCTATTGACAGGTATATCATCTTTGCTTTCTGACAGAATCCGTTTTCGGCCACGCATGCTGCGTGGTATGTCTGTTATAGACACAAAGACAACACTTCTAGGGACTGAAATCAGCTTCCCTGTAGGGATTGCTCCCACCAGCTTCCATCAACTGGCTTGGCCAGACGGAGAGAAAAGCACAGCCAGAGGTAGGTAACAAATTCATTACTATCAACCAAAGGAAGATGCATTAAAAACCTAAGGGAAACCTCCATCCACTGTCATGGTATTTTATGCATGGAAGTGTTTATGGGGCAAATTCTTTTCTCACCCTCTGAGCCCATTCCTGGGTGTTCTGGTGGCACAAGCAGCTGGGAAGGCAGAATTGGCCACAGTGTTCCAGTTATTACTGACAACCTTAATAGCCTTTTGGGGACTTGCAACTGAGCTGCTCTGTCTTGTGCCAGGGACCGATTTGGTACTCAGCTGTTTGTATGATCTAGAGGAGGGGTAGAGAGTGGAAACACTTACCCTGTCTGGCCTTTGCAGTGAACATGGAGACCAATGTGCCATCTTTAAAAGTCAATTTCCAAATGCTGTGAGACTGAATCATGGGCAGAGCTAGGATTTTGAAAAGGGGGCTGAGAATAGTTTGCATCATTGCATCTAACACAATACTTTTTACTCCAGTTAAAAGAAACTAGAAGCTGTACTAATATACTATGCACCTATAATTATACTATTCCATTTCAGATGAAAGCAAAAACAAATATAACTCTATTGGAATGTGAACTGATTTTCTATATTATATATTAAGTATAAAAACACAACTAACTAGGAAAATATTAATCAAGTCATTAACATTAAATGTACATCTGTTACTCAGATCTATAAAACAAAATGTAACTTTCTTGAGCATCTTGACAATGTATCCAACTTTTCACTAACAGTTATTTCCACATCTGAGTTAATGTTCAACATGGCTAGTCCATTAAGATACTCTTCATCCATTGTGAAACAAGCCAGGTTTAAGTCTCTGGTAACCATGGGTGCCAGAGGAAGAGCAAACTTCATGCTCCACCCTTCCACAGCCCCTGTGCTGACTGCTCTGAGCATTGTGGTTTGCTGTGGGTGCATAGACACAAAGCTGACATTTTCAGCCTGGCTTATCCCACTGCTTCTCACACGCACCCAGGGGTAGTGAGGGAAGCTACAGAACCAGGTGGCTTTGGAACCTGGTATGTGAATCCCCAAAGGAAGTGCTGTGGCAGTAGAGGCTGCACTTGGTTCCCCAGGTACAGACAGGGGACTGGGAGGGAGCCCCCCATATTGAGGGTTGCAAATTGCTACCTTATCCTCTTTAAATCTCTCCACCTGCCCCTCCCCCTGGTTTTCCTTTTACCACCTCCCTTCTTTCTCACTCCTCTCCTGCTCTGAAGCAATCGAGGCCATGCTACACTGCTGGGGGCTCTGGCCACAGCAGGCCCTGAGCAGCCCATGGCTACTGCTGCTGCAGGGATGTGTGTAGAGGCTGAGACCCAGCGGGGAGTGCATGAGGCCCTGTGGGAGGGGCATGTGGGCCCCGTGGGGGCACATGTGCTGTGCAAAGAGGTTGTATATGCCCTGTGGGGGGAGCTGTGACCCTGTGGGAGGAAGCTGTGGGCCCTGTGGGGCAGGGGGAAGGTTAGTCTGTGTGCTGTGCAGGGGGGGCTGCACCCTATGGGGAGGCAGGGGGTCTGCCCTTCCTTAGCATCCCCACCCACACAGTTCCCACACCCCAAGCCACCCCCACACAACCCTCACCCACATACACAGCCACAAACCCCCACACAAGCCCCATACCTCACAAACCTCACCCTCACAAATCCTACAGCCACCCACAAACTCCCCCAATCCCCCCCAAGTTGCTTTCTATTTGTAAATATAGCAATATAACATTGCACAATATTGCCCAAATATATCAATAAAACATTGCCCTCTCTCTATATAGTAGTGTTTCATTTTAATAGTGGAAGGACACTATTTTGGGTATTTTAATGAGAGAATCTGGGTTTCTTATTACAGAATTTGCAATTCATAAACAAGAAACACCAGAATCTCTGCAGGTGGTGAGACCCATGCAGAGGAGCCTGTCCAGGGCCAGCACTGAGGACCCAGCTGAAGGGCAGACAAGATGGCTGACCTCTTGGCCATTTGGGGTCAAAAGGACACACTTTGACAGTTCAAAGTGGACCACTGCAAGGAGCACATCATCTGAGCGCTAGCTGCCCAGATGGCAGAGTGGGAGCACCCCAGCTGGGTCTGGCAGGGGTACAGCACAGGTTTTTTTATACTGCTGGGGCCAGCACAAGTGCTGGCCCCAGCCTCTCTCTCCCCCTGACTGCAGATCTGGGAGGAGCTCGGCAGGGTTATTTTGCCCCAACTAGCACAACTTGCCCCATGCCAAAGTGCATATCCAGGCACATGCCGTGAGGCAAAAATCCTTGGCTCAAATTTGTGCTGCTCCTATCTGAGCTGCTACAAGTGCACATGCCTGCACACCACATGTGTGGATGTGCCCTGGGAATGGAACACTTTTGCGCTGGCATCAGCACAGCAGCCTGGTCCCTCCTTGCATCAAGCTATTATTTTCACAGCTTGCTTCCTCTTCTTTTTGCTTACTCTTCTGAAAGCTTTTAATGCTCTCAGTGGGACCCTCCTTACCCAAATGTCACACAGCTGGGCTTTGTTAGCAGGACTGACTCCCCCTCCTCAAAATGACTGATCACCTCATTACAGAACTGTCATTCATCAGGTCCTAGATTATCAGAACTAAGTGGGACCCACTCGAATTAGGAGGAAACAGGTTTAAAACTAATAAGAGAAAGTACATAGTTAATTTGTGGAACTTATCACCACAGGAGTCTGTAAGGGTAGATAGTACAGCGAAGTTCAAAAATGGACTAGACAAATTCATGGATGATAGATCCATTAATAGATATGAAATACAGCAGTCAAGGATCTATTGTCTTTCATCTCTGAACCAATAATGGTAGATGCCAGGGAGGTATGAAAGGGGACAACTCACTCTAGATAGACCCTGTTCATTTGCTCTTCCTCTAAAGCATCCACTGTTAGAGACAAGTAACTGGGCTAGATGGACTGTTGGTCTGACCAGGCATGACACATCTTACGTCTTATGGTTGAATTTTGACATTTATAGTGCTTGATTCATATTAACCAGATGGTACGATACCTTAGTGTCTTATACTAAAAATACGAATCCATACATATCTTTATAGGAGTATGAAAGATGCTGAGACATTAGCTGTGTTTTATCATTACACCTGTGTACAGACCCATAGTACATCATGCTGAGTTTTTTAACCATCTTCTATAGCGGCTGCATCCATGAACACCTGCTATATAACCAGCACATATTCCACCTGCACTGTGGAGGAGATCGCTGCAGCTGCACCCCGGGGCTTCCGTTGGTTCCAGCTCTATATTCACCGCAACAGGGCACTCACAGCACAGCTGGTACAACGGGTGGAGGCCCTGGGTTTCCAAGGCCTAGTGTTTACTGCTGATCTGCCCTACACTGGCAAGAGACGAGTTGACATCCACAACAACTTCCAGCTCCCTCCACACATGAAAGTGAAGAACTTTGAAGGAAACTTTGAGGTCTGTAAAGTGACCCGATCACTTTTAACAGAGATAGAAATATATTATGTGTATGTGAGAAAGAGAGGTTACAAATGTAGATACCCCTGGATTACAGCATATAACCACATAGCTAGGGCAGTGGTTGCTACCTTCTGGGGCAGAAGGTAGAACAGGATGACACCTTAGAGACTAACTGGTTCAGGGACTGGTTCAAAGACCATGAGTTTTTGTTGGCAACAGCAAACTTCCTCACATGCATAGTATATGAAAGTGCATGCCTCTCTGAACCAATTAGTCTCCAAGGTGCTGTCTTGCCCTACTTTCTGCTTGACTTCATACTAACACAGCTAACCACCTAACTTTTTGGGTTAACTCTCACTATTTATCAAGCTTAGGAATGGCCTAAACTCAGAAATATCATAGTTACATTTGTTTCATTGACAGGCTATGAGATTTTTACTGAAACATTTATGCCAACAAAGCCCTGGCAGAGTTGCCATTATGCAGGCAAAAAGGTACCATACAAACTTAATTAAAGGAGTGCATTTTTTGTGCATGAATAAGCCTAAAGGCCTCTGTATGTACCAGCCAGTGTGTGCCATCCTCCAGCTCTGTGCTTGTGCCAGTAGTGCTTGGGTTGCCCAGACTTCTGGCCTCACCATCACAAAATGGCCATGTTCCACTGTGGGTTTTGTCATTCACAGCTGAATAGCATGAGAATTGTGCTGTCTTTTAAATCATTTTTCTAACAACTATCTTGTAGGAGAGGACTGAAAATTGGCAGGAAGATAGGGTCAAATTCATAAAAATGTTTTGGCATCCAACTCTCATTGATAGTAATGGGGGTTTGGTGCCGAAATGCCTTTGCAAATTTGGCTCAGTTCCTGGGTCAGATATTTCCCTTCCACTGGTCTTCTGGAAAGCTTTTTTTGTTTTGTTTAAAAATCCTACTCTGAATATGAACAATAATAGTTTAGCAACTCTCCCCCACTTCCCATTAGTAGCACATTTGCAGCTCTAGCAATATTGCATGATGTGTCAAGGCACTTTAACCTTGCATCCAGGTAGAAAAACACCCCTTTGGGCTGAAAGGCAGAGGTGAGGGTCCATTGTGAGTAAAGAAGACTAAACAAACCAAAGTTGACTCCAGGATGTGTGTAGCAGCCTTCCCTTCCGTCTTTGGTCTCTGTTACGATCACCTTTTGTACTTAAATGTAACAAATAGTAAGGTTGCATTTGCTTGACCTCCCTTGACCAGGATAGTCCATAACCCAGTCTAGCAAGGACAAGCAGCCTTGTACAGAAAAAATGATGGCTTTGAAAACCTGATCTTTAGCTATGTCATATCCTGGCAGCCCCTCCTGCCAGCACTATCGCTGTGAAACCTCAACCTGATTTCCAGAGATTCTTATTTCCAGAACTACTCCCTGTCAGAATTATTGTTCCCAGTGATATACACTTTACAAAACCAGTTAATGGAATAGTTATCAAAGCTTATTAACATCCTCTCTGATAGGAAAAGAATGTGAGGGTGTGTTACATTATTGAAGTCTGTAATGGAAGTTCCTTCCTTCTGTCCCATGGTTGCAGGAAAACATATGTACTGAGTATGGACTGCCCCCTAACTTCATAGATCCTTCTATAAACTGGAATGACATCTATTGGCTGAAGAGTTTGACTCGTTTGCCCATCATTGTCAAAGGAATTTTGACCAGAGAAGATGCAGATTTGGCTGTGAGACATGGAGTTCAGGGCATTATTGTGTCAAATCACGGTGGAAGGCAACTAGATGGAGGACCTGCCACTGTAAGTGTCTTATGCATACATAGATTGCATAGGTGACAGAGTGCAAAAGTTGACACAGGCAACTATGGTGTCCGGGCGTGTGTGCCTGCAGATGGTAGGTGTGTTTACATGGCAGGAACCCCAGTTTCTGTAGACGTGTCTGAGTTACCTTGGGTCTTGGCATCATGGAGCACAGTGCAGCCTAAATAATTCTTGGGTGGCTGTTGAACCCCAAGCTGGGTTCTGTGATCTCGCAGCTACTGTGCTACCTGGGATTTACATCAGCTACTACCCCATTTTTTTACTACTGAAATTTTCACAATGTTTCAATCTTTTATTATTTTTTATTTACAAATTAAATGATTTTTCTTTTAAAACTTGAAATTTATTGAAAATATTTCACACCATATGACTGTACATCATTTGCACTTGAAAATGGGCTGAACTAGGTGCAAGTGGGATCTTCTTTTTAATCTAGAACTTTATTAGTGGCACATTTTGCAGTAGTATAACTATGGGTGTTGACAGGGACACTTGTTTTGAGCACTGATGTTAAGGAGATACAAGAATAGCAGAAGCCATGGCAGCAAACATGACCACCATTTCTCCCACTCCAGCCACCACTGCTGCCCAGGAAGCAGAAGTTGTTTCTTGCACTTCTAACATTTTGTGTTATGAGGTATGCTGATAAATATTGATTTGACAGTATATTCAGTTACCAGAGTGTTACACATGTTTATCTGTGTAATTCCTCCTTCTCTTCCTCTATCTTTCTTAATTCAGTTTGAGCTCAATGTGAACATGTTTACTTCTTTGCAGATTGATGCTTTGGTTGAAGTTGTGGACATAGTGCAAGACAAAGTTGAAGTTTATGTAGATGGTGGAATACGGACAGGAAGTGATGTTTTAAAGGCACTAGCACTAGGAGCAAAATGTGTCTTCATTGGAAGGCCAGTCTTATGGGGTCTGACCTACAAGGTAAATCTGAGAACACAGAATTTGTATGCGAACTCTCGCACAGAGGGCAATATGCTTTGTAGGAACCTTTTCCTACCTCCACCCCACTGTCTAATTCAATTAAAAAATTTTTTTTCAAAATTCCTGTTTTTATTTTTTCAAACCCCCCACACTTCCATTAAAACAGATATTTTAATCAGAAATGCCTCTTTTGGCACAAAGCCATTTTTAATCAAAATCCTTTCAATGGAAAATTCTTGAACACTCTAGCTACTGACAATGAAGATATTGCAGGCAACATGTGCTCATGCTGAATAAATGATTCCAGCTTACTGGACAGTTTGTCATTGCCACCAAACTGACTTTATCATGAGTCAAATTACTTATGGACTCCTGGAATCGTATGATGATTGAGAATTACAGGTTTCATAAATGTTTAAAAGTACATTTCCAGGTTTCCTTCATTACAGAGTAATTTCTGGATAATGTGAATCCCCAAGAATCCAAAACTAGAAAACAAATTTTAAAAAAATCCCACTTAAAAACCCCCCCACTAACAACAAAATGTAGCATGTTACCTGGTCACATGGAAGGGTGACAGTCCTGGCCCACAATTTTTGAACAACTGGATTGACAAAACTGGTGATAAATAAAAAGATCTCACTCAGATGTGAACCTGAACAGGTCCAGATACATTTAGAAGGCAGGATAGAGATGCACCTTTTAGACTAACTGAGTCTAAGCTTATTCAGAGATGAATAAGCTTCCATGAGCTAGAGTTCACTTCAACAGATGCTATGAAAGGATGTGCACAGAACAGGCTATCAAATAGGAGTGACCAACTTGAATACAGAAGACAGGGAAAGGATGGAGGGAAGGAGTGAGCAGGGTGGGGAGTGGGGGCAGAGCTGAGAGAAACAAACAAATAATAAACCCATGGGAACAAAGGATTAACAAGAACTAATCCAGAAAATGGAATAAGAATCCATAGTTCCTGGTTAAACCATACTTAACACAATCCAGTCTGTGGATGATTTCTTGTTCTGCAAGAAATTGATTTGTATGACCTGATGATAGATCTGTGTCCCCTTATTCTTTCACAAAGGGATTGCCCCTCTGTCCAATACAGAGGTAAACTTAATGGTTTTTAAAATAGCTTAGTAACAGACAATATGCACTTTTGGTAAGGATCCCTTGCAGAGTATGTCCAGGGTCATTTTCTTGAAAAAGTGTTTTTGGTCCCCTGCTAAAATATAGAATGATAATTTGGACAAGACTTAGAACAATGCATTTCCTGTAGGTAGGCAAATGTCCAGATATTTCATATTCAGCTTTGATGACTATAGTCCACTGCTGGATTCAAGTGATTAAAATATGAGCCATGCACCCATGATCATGAGATTGACCTAAAAAAAAAAAAAAAAAAACACAGATTTTTTTAAATATAAATAAGTATGCATTATTTTATATCACTTCTATTTTTAGACTTTTAGCTCATGTTTTTAAGATGTTCTCTATGTCCATGAGGTATAGAAACATGTTTAAAATGAAACCTGAGATTCTCCAGCAAATTGATTCCCACAGCCAGGGCACCAGGTTATAAGGAACCTCATAACCTCAGAGTTGGCAGCAGTGCTCCTTTGAAAGAGAAAAATGTAAACTAAAGACAAAAAACTAAATATTTTCTCTAACATCTTTCTGTGACAAAAAACAACATAGAAATAGTAAGCTTATGCATTTTCCAGTTGGAAATTGGATTTTTCAGGTTATTAGCATCACTTTTACAGAAGAAAGGGCACAGTGAGCTATTTTTCCAAGGCTCAAATCTTTTAACTGAAAAAATACTCTACCTTCAAATATTTAAAATGCTTAAACCACATGAAGCACTAGATGCCTGCAAAGTTGGAATTTTTTTAACAAGCCCATTGGCAGAGGTAATCTGAAAGCCTAGCCAGAGGTAAGTGGGGGCCCATGGTGACAGGGGCTTAGCCCAGCTACAGGGAGGCAGCTGAGAGGAGCTGAGGAGGGACATGCCCCCCCCTCCTATTTGGCCCAGCCCCCCAGGGAGCCATGCAACCAGTGCCATCCAGCCCATGAAGCAGAGAAAGGGGAAAGGACCCCCCAGGCCCCACAAGAGTGGTGAAGGACTGGCAGGCCCTACTGAACATGCATGGAGTTTAAAATGGCCCACCAATGGCAGAAGCCACACTTGGCCTGTGGGTCCAGAGCAAGACACAGGTGGAAGCCCATTGCATACCCATGAGCCCCAGGACCCCCAATGACCCCCAGCCTAGCTAGAGGTAATTGAGGGCTCATGGTGGGAAGGACTTAGCCCAGCTGTGGAGACAGCTGAAAGGAGCTGAGGAGGGTCACGCCCCCCTCTCCCCAGCTCCTACTTCACTCAGCCCCCCAGGGAGCCACATGACTGGAGCCTCATGAACAGAATGCACAAAACAGACATGATTCTAGGCCCAGCATGCGAGTTAGCGTGGGAGCTTGTGCAGGAGGTTGCACAGAGCCCCAGACAAGGAGCCTCAAGGGAACGGTTGGCACAGTGGTAGCCTAACTAGTACTGACACAGTGGTGGGTGGGATGCATCACACCCCAAGGTTCCCTCCTGTGGCTGGACCCCCATCCCCGGGATGTCCAAGGCCTCCACCCAGCTGAAACCCATGGTTCCAGTCTCCATTCAGATGGAGCCCCTGGCTCTCAGCTGCAGGAGCTGCCTGGCATGACTCCAGGCACATGAGATCTGAGCACTGCAGCCTCCCCTTGTGAGGTTTGCTCCATATTGAAGTCTCTGAAATCCCAGATAGTGGAGCTCCAGACCACGGTGCAGAAGCTGCATGCCATTAGGGATGGCAAACAGGAGACTGACTCGTACTGCCAGGCCTTTCACTCCAGGACAGAAGAGTGACCTAGGTTGCCTGCCAAGACCAGGGAGGCCAAGAGGCACTCCCATACTGTCCAGCCAAGGGGTTGGAGAAAGGTTGCCTCCAGCCCCAAGGCTCACTGTACCAGGGTCACCACCATGGATCTCTGCAACAGGTATGAACCTCTTGCAGTACCAGTAGAGCCTGCAGAGCTGCCAGCTACTGCAAGGAACAAAGAAACAACCAGCTATCATCCCCAAGATGAAAACACAAAGTGGTCATTGTGGGTGACTCCCAGAGGGGTACTGAGGGAGCAGTCTGTTCCCTGACCCCTTAGCCCAGGAGGTCTTCTGCCTCCCAGGAGCCCATATACAGGATGTGGCTGAGAGGACACCAAAGCTTAGTTGGTCCTCCAGCCCTATACGCCTTATCCATATGGGCACAAATTACATGACTCAGAGGAATCTAAGCTCATTGGTGGATGGGCAGAAAACCACCAGAGCAAGTTTACCAACAATCAACCACAAAACCAGCAGGTTAGGATGCTCAAGGGAACCCACCTCCTACCTCAGCCCAGGAACAGAGCTTCTCCATGAGTACAAGAAAGCCTAGGGCTTCCAATGGCACACTTACATGCCTGTACACAAATGTTAGGAGTTTGGTGAATAAATAGGAGGAACTGGTCCTTCTGCTAAACAAAAATGAGTACAAATCTCATAGGGATCACAGAGACCTGGTAGGACAACTCCTACGGCTGGAATACTAGTATAAATGGCTATACCCTGTGCAGGAGAGATCATGCTGAAAAAAGAGGGGCAGGGCTGTAGCTCTCTATGTGAAGGTGAGCTACCCAACCCTACAAAGCTGAGATTGGAACCCAAGAAGGATGACTGGAGACCCCTTGGGTTAGAATACGAGGGGAACATAGTGAGGGGGATACAATGGTAGGAGTCTACTACAGACCTCCAAACCAGGAACAAGGGCTTGACCATGAATTCACCAGCGAACTGGCCAAGGCTGCATGATCTTGGTACATGGTCATCATGGGAGACTTCAACTACCTAGACATCTCATGGGATGAGCACTTGCCCAAATCAGATCAGTCACAAAGCTTCTTTACATGTATGGATGAGCTCTACCTGTACCAGGAAATTTATGGACCGACAAGAGGCAAGGTGCTGCTGGACCTGGTACTGGCCAAAGGGAATGATCTAAATCAGTGACCTTAGAATCAAAAGGGAAGCTGGATGACAGTGACCATGAGTTGATCACTTTCACTATGCATTGCAAAGCTGACAAGTCAGCCAGCAATGCAGGAGTCCTTGACTTTAGGAAAGCTGACTTTCATAAGCTTAGGAGGCTTGTTTTTGAGGCTCTGATTTCACAGGGAGGGGAGCTCAGGATGAGTGGTTGCTTCTTAAGGAAGCGATCCTAGAAGCACAAGTGGAGTCCATCCCCACCTGTAGGAAATTTGGTAAAAGGGCTCAACACCCTCCTTCACTCAACAGGGAACTCATGGACCTCCTACATCTAAAAAGAGAGGCCTAGAATGGATTGAGGACATGAAACACCACTAAGGAGGAGTATACCGCACTGATCCACACCTGCAGGGAGTGAACTAGAAAAGCCAAGGCTGCAACTGAACTCTATGTGGCTACATGAATCACGGACAATAAAAAGTCCATCTTCAGATATATGGGGAGTCAAAAGAAAAACAAGGGCAATATTGGACCCATGCTACACCAGCTGGGGCAGCTGACTCCCAACACCCAGGAAAAAAAAAAAGACAACCTGATTAATGATTAATTAATCAGCCAAATCCGAGTGGGCGCAAAGCTTTCTCTCACACATGGATGACCTCCAATGCAGGAAGTCTACAGGCCAATGAGAGGTAAAGCGCTGCTCGACTTGGTGCTAGCAACCGGGGATGACCTAAAGTCAGCGAGCAAATGATTGAAGGGAAGCTGGAGGACAGTGACCATGAGCTAATCATGTTCACCCATCTGCCTTAAAGCTGGCAAGTCAGTCAGTAATACAGAAGTCCTCAACTTCAGGAAAGCTGACTTTGACAAGCTCAGGAGGCTTGTCAGTGAGGCCCTAAAAGGGCGACAACCCAAAAGGGGAGGGGAGTTCAGGATGAGTGGTTGC